TTTTGGATTGTTAACAAGAAAAAAGATGTCCTTTATTTTAATTGGATAGGCTAGTACTGACATTGACCTTTGTATTTGTCTGGATTTTTGTAGGTCCTCATTGTTGATTTTATTCACATTGTGAAGCCGTAGTTTATGTTATCCTTTGTCTACGCCATCGCTTGGTGTAAGTTGTCTTCCCAGCTCTCTCTGATTTCTAATGCTCCTTATGGGGAGGCAGGCTGTGTAGTGCCAAGAAAAAAGACCTAGTCCTGGCATCAGAGGGCTCTGGTTCAGATCTTGCCTCTGTTGCTTCAGACCTTCACCTTATCTAGCCTCATTCCTATGTTAAATGAGTGAGTGAGTTAGATGTTCATTTGATCACTGAAAGTTTGTTTTTGTAATGGAGACACACTCAGATTGCTATGAAACCATTATGCCACTGTCTCTACTATTATTTGACCAAAAACAAGAAATGCTGGGCTACGGCAATAAAACTAAAAACTCAAAAGAAATTAAGAAAATAAGCGCAGGCAGAATTAATTCTTATTTGCAGATGTGACAGTTTACCTAGAAAATGCCAAAGAGTTGAGGAACACTTTAATCTAGACAAAGTCTTCAGTTAAGTGTCAGGCTACAAAATAAATCCACAAACTCCAACCAGACATTGCTTAGGTTGAAGAAATAGGAAGAGAAATTCTATTTGAGATAAGAAACTGTTGTAAATGTCTGGTAGTTATCCTACCAAAACACAGCTCTTACATAGCGTCACCATTTTCATAGAAAGTTGGAACAAAGACCAAAGTTAAAATCAGAAAGTTAAAATATCAAGAGATGTAATGCAGCGCTTGGTGGTGGAATGGTTTGTCTGGAGATCCTTGACTTGAAGATGGAAGCAGGGCCGCTCAGAGCTTGTTGGTCTTTATCCAACTCCTGCATTTTATAGACAAGGAAGTTGAGATCCAGAGAGGTTAGAGATTGCCCATGATCACACAATCCTAAATATTAGTGATAGGATGTGAACCCGTGTCCTCGAAGGTAGCGTTTGACACTTTTCATTACACAGTCCTGGAGGAAGCTTGGCATTGCCAGATTCCAAATTATCTGGTTTTGGGGGGGTTGCAGAAAATTGTTGATGGAATAGACAAGATAAGTAAGATCTGGAAATAAATCGGTGTCTTAGCAGCTTACAAAATATGACAATACATTCCAGTTGACTCAATAGCTTAAATAATTAAAAAGTCCCACCATAAGAAAATTAGAGAGTAATGGAAGGTTATTTATTTCCCAGCTATTTAAGGGGAAATAATCATAACCAGATGTGGGATAGAAAAGTCTTAAAAGGTGAAATTGGCTTTGAATTATATGGCATTCAAAAGCTTTGGACAAATAAAATCAGTGCAGCTAGAATTAAAAGAAAAGATCTCTGATGAAAGTCTGACATCCATCTTCTCTTGGATTGACACAAGCCTAATAAATTAAGAAATATTTTCTGTTATTTAGGTGTCAAAAGGCATAAACAGTTTTAAAAATTATTATTTAAATATTTTTCTAGTAGCAAAAGTAGTTAAGCACAAAAGTGTAAGTAACAGGAGTAAGTCAACTGGAATAATTCTCTTGCAAAACACAAAATGGCTGTAGTGTTTGACGCCACCCAGGCGGGTGGATGGGAGAGAAATTTTTCCGAGTTGGGAAAACTGTCCCTTGGTACATGAGAGATGGGGTCAGAAAAGGAACAGTCAGTCCCTCTTCTCCTTTTCCCTGTACAAAAACTCATGTAGCCGCTTTGGGCTGCTCTACGCTTTGCATGGCTTCCCCCCGGGTTGGATCTTTTGAGGATAGATGAAGCGCCCCGTGTCTCTTGTTAGCACATGGATTCCCTGCCAGCACAGTCTGTCTCTTTAGCTTATGGCTGTTCAAGAGCACTGTAGGACATCCCCTTCTGGATTTCCCATCACTTTTGTCTTCCTTCTCAAGGGGCTTCTCTTCTCCAGCTCTTCTGTTTCCCGACAAACTGCTGTCATTGGTAATAAAAAATAAAGGGGGAAACAATGAGTGGAGAGCTTTAAGAGGAAGAAGCTGAAGATGCCAGCCAGTGTGTCGGGGACAGACTGCCCAGGCACGTGGACCGGGCTCAGCATCGATGCAGGAGCAGGGGAGAGAGTGGGCTCTGTGGCATCTGGGAAGTTGTGTAGAGCTTTGAATGGCACTGAGCTTCTCCTTGCTTGTTTAACTGCGGCACTCCCTGAGGGTGAGGCTGTGGGTGCCGGCTTCCAAGAACTAAAGTGGTGAGCTAAGGAAGATCAACGACCAGATGACCAATGAGGGAATAAGTTTCACTCTGACATCAGTGAAGTCTTGTGAGTGCCAAAGGTAACCTGAAGGATGTTGTCGAGAACGTGTGTGACTGGAAGGGGAGGATGGCAGATCTTGTATTGAGAGTAGCAGAGAAACCAGTGATCGACCCCCATGGATACATTGGTATCCATGCGATGTCAGGAGAGCTAGGGGAAGACATTGTCATGCTGGGTAGATCCCTTGGGGAGGATTTATGAGAGGTTGAGAAGGGTGAGAGAATGTGGATGTACTCCAGTCTGCGTCACTGGAAGGCACGTCCATATGAGTGAGTCATCATCATCATCATCATCATAGCTGACATTTATATATTGCTAAGGACGTGCCAGGCACTATGCAAAGCACTTTACCGATGTCTCATTTAACCCTCACAACAACTGTGGGAGGTAGGTGCTATTATTATTATTCCCATTTTACAGATGAGGAAACTGAGGCAGACAGGTGAATTCATTTGCTCAGGGTCACACAGCTAGTAAGTGTGTGAGGTTGGATTTGAACACAGGTTGTTTTTTTTTTGTTTGTTTGTTTTTTGACACCAGGCCCAGTGCTCTATCCACCACCAACATAGCTGCTTATGTGCCTCAATGAGATCATAGAGCCGCCTTTGTGGCTTTGTATACCTCATTGATACCTTGGTGTCCCCAGCACTTAGCATAAAGACTGGCACACATATATTTCATAAATACTTCTTAATTGATTAATAAAAAGTACAGAGTTTTAGTGCACGAAAATTATTTTCTCCTTGGCACATAGGTATTTTATTTTTATGTCAATCACATATGAAACCTCTAACCTTCCAGTAGATATGTCAGAGAATACGCATTTCAGACGTTGTCTGGGGCACACAAATTCTGTGTATCAACTGTGGCCCGAGGCTCTGAGACTGAACCACCCAAATCCCTCTTTTATACATCTGTCCATCACATCAAGCTGTTTAGCAGGAGCTAGCCGAATACAATTTTGTTTCCTTGGGACCTCCTTGTAATGGCCAAGATAGATGTTAGTAAGCACTTTGTAAATTGTAAAGCTAGACGGAGCTGTTACCATTCTGTAGTGTGTTTATCCAACACCTGGTCAAGGCCCTAATAACCACGTTTAAGCCAATGCACCAGGTTCAGCACCCATAGCGTATGGGGGAGGGTAATACTGAATAATCCCTTCTTTAGCTGTAGAATCTTGGTGTAGCAGCTGTCCGAAGTAGACTTTTCATGATTTATTTACTTGTAAACATTTTACGAATATGAAGTTACTTTCACTTATCACATGTATTCCCATCACTTAGTATGGTCCCTGGCACACACACTTAATAAATGCTTGTTGACTGACTGACTGACTGATTAATATGTTAGGATCTGATTTTATTGGTGTGGTTATTCTCTCTATAGACACAGATTGTTATTATTAGCCTTCTAGAGTTGATGTAGGTGAAATCATCAGTAGCTTGTAGCTCACGTGGTGATACATTTCTCTGAACTGAGTTAGGCTGATCTTTCCTGGATATTTCTAAAATACTTTCAGCCCGGTTGCATCTGCTTGCCCACCACTGGCATCACCTTTGAGAACCCAAGGCATTGATTGACACAACATGGTGTTTCATAATCAGTCATATTATCATGCAAACATCATATTTGAATGAAACCATAGTCTTTAAATTAAAAAAAAAAGGTGCCTGGATTTCAGTATGCCTTGTGAGAAGTCTCAGTATATCCATATGGACAAAGATTGAGAGATATGGGCTGGAAAATAACATAGTATGCTTGGTTCACAACTATTGGAATAGTTGGATTCAGAGCGGTGATTAATTGATGTCAACTTTGGTGGTAGGGAAAGGGTGCTAGGGCATTACCCTCCAGCTCTGTCTGTGGCCTTCTGAAGAGAAAGACAGCCTGTTCATGTGGTGGTTGGCAGAATCAGGATGCCTTAAGATTTTGATTATCAGCCCGTTTGTTTGGTTTTTTTCATGTATCTTTTTGAGTTTTTTTTTTTTAATTAGGATCAGATTTTACCCCTACGAGGAACTCCCAGAGTGGAAAACCCCTCCATTGATGTGCTTGGTAACTCAGGGTTTTCGAAGCTGCCCTTGGGGTGCTGAGCAGTAACATAACTTGCTTGTGGAGTCAGCCTAACTGGCACAGGCATGATTTTTAACCTGTGTCTTTCTGACTCCCAAGCCAACCCTGTCTGTGCTCTGCCACCTTGCCTGTCTGAATGAAATTTAGTAAGAGTTAAATGTAAATTCCTATACTTTGATTTTTTTTTAAGTATATAAAGGATGGAAATGTTGCTATGCAAAGTGCAAATTTAATGAGTCAACAGTGTGATGTTAGCCAAGAAAGTTACTGTTAGACTGTTTGTAAAAAGCATTGTCTCTAGATTGAGGGAGCCAACATTCTGCCCCGCTTAGAATCATTTTGGAGAAGAAGGATCTTGATGAGCTGAGTGAGGGGCATGCAGAAGAGAAGGGGTCAGGGTAGGGAGAGGAAGCCAAACCAATAGCAAATGAGGGTCAGTTTTAGGAGCTAGCTATGAGAGAGATTTTTGTATGTAAGGCCAGCAGCTGGCACGGGACTTGACATGTGGGTGCTTACTAAATGCTTGTGGATTGATTGCAGTAACTGCACACTTAAACGAGTAACATTTTGTTAATTCTTTTCCTCTTTTCTTAGGTGCATTTTATTTGGTGTTTGAATACATGGACCATGACCTGATGGGACTCCTGGAATCAGGCTTGGTTCATTTTAATGAAAATCACATAAAGTCATTCATGAGACAGCTGATGGAGGGTTTGGATTATTGCCATAAGAAGAACTTTTTACATAGAGATATTAAGTGTTCAAATATTCTACTAAACAATAGGTATGATTGAATTTTTTAGCTATATATTTGTGTATGTACATTTTTAGGGGGAAAATATGTTTTTAAAATGTCCAATAAAACAGCACATTCACTATTGTTACACACGATATTAGTTTGATTATAGTTTTAGTAGGATTTTATGCCTGATCACAGATAGTAGCTGAAAGTGTTGACTGAATCTGATCAGAATTGAAATTAAAACATGTACATTTAAACACTTAATTCCTTGCTTTCGAAAATTAATAAATGAAGACAGAATGCCTAAGTCAGCTAGTGATTTGTCTTCTTGCCCAACATGACGTGTACCTTGTCCTGCCGTGCTTTTCAAGATCCGTTTCCATTTGACTAGTGAAAATACTGGTGTTTGGAAAAGTACACACTTGATACTTCTCATTTTGATGGAAGTTGCTCCTTGACCCTCGTGGCCTTGGTCTCCATTGGCCTCATATCGACTGAACCTTCTGACTTCCTCTTTGGCCAGGCCTGAGACACATCTTTTTGTGCCTTGGGGCTCAGTGTGAGAGGCTGATGAACTACAAGGAGATGCTTTTGTTCTTGGGCCACCAGGAACTTTTGAGTCATTCTCAGATGACCAACTCAGGGCCACTTGTTGGGAACAGTGGTCCCGAGGAGTTTCCTAAATCCCTAAGATGGGCCTGGGCTGAGAATGTAATCCTTGTGACTGTTTGCTGAAAATCAGGGTGGTTCGCCCAGGCTGGCTTAAATTCAAACCTCAGTGTCAGAATCATCATCTTGAGATCCCAAGGCACCATGGGACCGTCTTACCCACATCAGCAAGGCCATTTGTGACTAGTGTATAGCTACCTGGCATGTGTCTGTTTCATATATAGGGACACTATACATTTTTTTTTTAACTTCTCAGTTACAGCACTCCTTCCTGATTGGGGTTCTTGAGATGTAGCTACTTGGTCATTATGAGTAAATGAAATAATGGGATTTACTTGAATTGTATAAAGGGCTTGTGAAAATATTTACCTAGATGAAAAATATTTTCTTAAAATGACTAGTAATTGAATTTATCTTAGCACTGAATCTAAGTTGTGTTACAGTTACTAACTTTTGAAACATCACTGGGTGTTTTTAGTGAGTGTTAGCGTTCGTGCTGTCTGACACCTGAACAGATGGTCTCTCTGTCATGATCAGCACTGTGAGGACAGGTGATGCTGACGGGAAGTAGAAAATAATGAGGAGAGAATGGGTGTAGTCAGTACTTGGGCTTTACGTAGAACATGAGGTTTCTTCATTTTGGGGTTGGGAAAAAAAACCCAGATATGATGTTTCCTGGTTAATTTGCTTAATACTCCAAGTAGTTTTCACAAATTTGTTGTTGATCATATTTCCCTGTAGCAGTAATTGATGATGATTTGATTTGAATGGACAACTCACAGCCAAGCTGATCATAATGAGATTCCTTATTTTTCCTCTTCTTTCTCCTAGAGGACAGATAAAGCTAGCCGATTTTGGACTTGCTCGATTATATAGCTCAGAAGAAAGGTAAGATGCTACAAATACTGTGAACTTAGTGGCCCCATTCTAAAAGTCCTATTGTCGAGTATGTAATCCGTTCCCGAGAAGCATGACATGACATTTCCTGCCTAAGCATGTGAAGGGTCCTTTAGGTCATCAGGTGGGCTTGTCGTGTATAACGAATGACTCCTGGTAGCATGATTATCTTCATTACCAGATCTCTGCAGGACCCAGTAAAACCTCATTGCTTTGAATTTTATAAAGACTTGGTGCTTCTGAAAGTTTGGAAACTATCTGTTCAAGTCAGCATAACTGTAACAGAATGCTTTATATAGGATGTCAAAATAAAGTTGACTTTCTACAAATGAAAAAATTTTAAGTTTACATTTATTACCTGCACACATTACCCGAATGATGTTTAAATGAATAAATGTCACATTTATTGGTTGATATGCTGTTGGTCCTTGTATTACTGCAATGAGAGTTGAATGTATTCACTTGCCTTAAGTGTGGGTTCCATTATTGGGTTCTAATTTTGTGTCTGGCTTACTTTTCATATGGACATATTGAAGATTATATTTGGCCCTTGACTCCAAATCTGTGGAGGGAGGGTTTGCTTGTTAGTTTACAGCTCTTGTTAATAGACAGCTCTAAACACAGGAGGTCTGAGACAAGCTATGGTTGGGGACCACCCCCTCTACATTCCCCCCTGTCCCCCATTAGTTAAATGCTGAGGATATTTGATAAGATAGTGTGATTTATTTGTGAGATTTTAAATCAAGTGAGTTTTCCTTTTGACTTCTTCTACAAATAAAAAGTGATTCAACACACTTTATTCATTAATTCTTAGAAATGACATGGTTTGCAAAATAAAACTTTGGAAGGTATATAAGGGGAATGAATAACAGATTTTTTTTTTTGTGTAAGCAAATGATAAATTCTTAGCCATGGAATAAATGCTTCTTGGATTGAATTTAATCACAGAGCTTGAAAAGGACCTTTTGGAGCCATTAAATACAACCCCTCCTTTACAGACTCTAAGCTAGTTCAGATTTTATTTTAACATCTTTCTCTTTTCTTTTTTTTGTGGGTGGGGGGCAGTTCGGGTTAAGTGACTTGCCCAAGGTCACACAGCTAGTAAGTGTCAAGTGTTTGGTCTGAGGCTGGATTTGAACTCAGGTTCTCCTGACTCCAGGGCTGGTGCTCTATCTGCTGCACCACCTAGCTGCCCCAACATCTTTTTCTTTCATATCATCAGGGAAGGCAGTTCTCCAACTCAGCTTAGTGTCACCATAATTTGCATTGCGAAACTTCATTGGTTCATATACTTGGAGAATAACGTGCTTTTTTTTTTCCCCTGCGATCCTCTATTTTGAATTTTACAGTTAATGAAGATGTTTTAAAGGATGCCTTTTTGAACTCTTGTTAAAGTATATCTAAAAGACCATGCTGTTTTCCTGACTTAATAGAGTATATTGAGAAAAATTGCATTCAGAATCTTGCAAGTGCCTGTTCTTTTGAATCTGTCCATCCTTGTAGATTAGAGTATCGGGGTTAGATGAGACCTTACAGGTCTTCTATTCTGCCTTCCCATCACCCCCTGGTTTTACTGCTGAGTCAGTGTAGCCCCTTGGGTAGGGGTTGGGGCCGGCTCACGTGGTTGGTAAAGCCAGAGGGAGGCTTAACTCTGAGGTCTCCTGGGCTGTCTGCAGGTGAAATTGGGAAATGGAGCCGAGTGAGCTCTCGTTCAAAGGCATCCGAGACGCTGCGTTGTTTCCTTCTGTCTGCTGACAGGGCGTAGAGAAGGGAAAAGTGGGTTTCTAAGGAGGATTCATGGATAGGCTCACACTGGCTAGGCCTCAGAGACCACTTAGTCTGGCTTGTCATTGTTCAGATGCAAACACTGAAGTCGAAGGTACTGAAGGAACTTGCCCAGGTAGGTGGTGGGGAGGGGTTGGAAGCTTGAGCTTCGGTTTTCAGGGTCATATTTGTTATTAATTGAAATGACTCTAAGAATAGTGTGTTTTCTCAATATTAAGCTGTATGTTTCTTGCTTGAATGGAATATCCTTTCCTCTTATGTTTTGGGAGAGATTCAGGTCAACTGAATTAATTACAGTTTTCCATTTAACAGTCTCTACATGTTCATTGGTCTAATTAGAAAAATATATTCCAACAGTTAGAGATAGGGCAACACTGTATGTCCAGCTTTTTCCCTTTTTCAACTTAAAATGGGAGATACCTTGGACATGAAAAACTGGAGGTTATAGTGACATGAAGGCCTAAACTGGAGAGCTGTGAGATGGGAGCTAAGAGTTCTGCTTCTCCTAATTACTCTCCAGGTGACTAGGCAAGTCTTCTCTGAGATTAAGCGTACCCTTGTCCAGCACTGACTCTGAGGGAGGCCCTGGGCTGGGTGCTGGAGAGACAAAGATGCCCTTTTTCCTTTTTGGTGAGGTAATTGGGGTTAAGTGACTTGCCTAGGGTCACACAGCTAGTGTCAAGTGTCTGAGACTGGATTTGAACTCAGGTCCTCCTCACTCCAAGGCTGGAGCCCTATCCACTGAGCCACCTACCTGCCCCATGAAGTATGTACTTTTATTTATAGAATTCTCTACTGATGTTAAATTATAACCTCATTCATTTCTTCAATTTTCGGTGGAAAATTAAGTAATAGAAATGAAAGAGGACCATTTTCTGGTTATATTAGCTTTCTCTTCCACTCTCACCCAAGATATTCTCAGGTCTCTTTTATTTCTGTCTCATGTGCTAAAAGGCAGAAAGCTTCCACCAGGCATGGGAAGAGATATTGTTGACAGTTTGAAAAACATGAGGGCAGTGAATCTTGCCCTGTTTTCTCTGAGAAATACAGAAATCTTTTTAGAAATACAGAAATATAGGAGTCTTTTTTGACTTTTCCATAATGCACTGTGGTTGACAGGAATCTATAAATAAAGGTCAGAGTTAAGTAAGAGAGTTTAGTAATAGGCACAAACCATTAGATGACTATAAAAACAAACTAGGAAGACTAAATGAATAGGAAATGACATTGATCTCTTAAGTCTCTAATCTCCAGTTCATCCTGGAGAACAGACTAAAATTGCCCTCCCTCACAAGCCTGGAACAAGTGTTTCAAAGGGAGCCCAGGCAGGACAGAACAGGGAGAGGCAGAAGGCCTCTGCAGCTTCCTTCAGGAAGTTCCAAGGGAGAAGAACGCGAAGGAACCAGAAGGATGAAAGAACTGCTGACATTGGGGAGGCTCTTGAAAGTCCTGTGCCCGAGACCTCCCCAGGACTGCTGGGGACACTGCTGGGGACAAAGGATGTTCTCTAAGGGAGAAGCAAGTGGGAAAAGCTTGCCTCCCTCTGCTCATTGGCGTCATGGTGGACGGCCACAGTGGATCCTGCTGGACCAGCATTTGTGCCGCCAAGACTTGTCAAGCCTAGTGGACTTGATGATAAGGTTGAGAGCCCATGCTGCTGCCTGGTAGAACCTCTGAAATGATCTCTGGATTGTGATGTTCTGGGCAAAAAATTCAGATGCTTCAGGGCACAGATGGGTCTTGGATCATGGCTGTCGAAGAAGATTTTTGGAAAACAATGTTTGGTTAAGAAGACGGTTTTGGGAGACAGAGATTTGAGTCTCTAGATGATGGTCTAAAACACGAAATAATGTACCCGCCCAGGGAAACTGTAGCTAAAGAAGACTTTCAAATAAATAAACAAATAAAAACATATTTGCATGAAGATTGGAAGATCTGATTAAAAGGGATTTATAAATGGAGGAGGAATAAAAACATTCCACATCTCTTCAAAAGCAGATGTCCTAGAGACAGGCAGGTATGTCATGGGGAGAAAACTTATCGCTGGAGAGGTCCCAGTGATTCGTGGAAGACAGGGTGTTAATGATGACTTCCGTTGTCTGTAAATATCAGGCAGGATATGGAAGAGAACCTGCAGCATTTGGGAAAGGGGACGCTTTCTTCCTCTTCATCATCACTGTGGGTCATGACTAAAAGACGGAAATGAACAAGTATGTTCTACTCAAAAGAGGCAGATTAGGCAGAGTTGTATTGCATCATAAGAAGATGTGTTGAGAAAATTTGTGAATGGCATGGAGTAGGGGCACAGTGTTATGATGGAGACTATTTGGTGATGACCAGGGGAGGAAGAAACAAAGGATTTTAGTGTAGGAATGCACCGTAGACCACCCTGGCTTGGAGGAACCCCACCGCGCAGTTGTGATGGAAGCTTGGACTGGCTGGATTTATCCGCTGGAGCCTTCTCTCTCTGCACAACCAGAGCATCTGGTAACTTTCCTGTATTGATGACAGCTTTATTCTGCTGGTCCTGAAGCGAGCACACAGCCACGCCATCCTCAGGCTCGGAGTCTGAGCCAGCCTCAGTTGTGAGAGAGCAGGTTTCCAGGGGTTCAGAGAACAGGGAGTGGAATCTGTCTACAGAAACGGATGCTTAAGACAACACATGGTAACAGCGCTCTTTGGGAAAGGAAAATTGGTATAAAATACATTTCAATAAATAAAAGATTTCTTCCCATAGAGCTTAAGGGTTTATAAAGGTGAGGGAAATAATAGCAGTTTTCAAGTCGTGATTAGATTTGTTCTTTTTGGCCCCAGGGAAGAGATGTAGGAGCAGTAGGAAATACCAGAGGAGCAGATTTGGGTTCATTGAAGGGAAAAACATCCTAATAATGATGGCTGTCCCCAGATGGCCTGAGCTGTTGTGAGGGATAGTGAGCTTCCTCTTACTGGTGGACTCAAAGTGAAATCTAGATGGCCACTTGGAAGGTATGTTTTATATCTACTCACCTGTCTTTGTTGTGGTTAGGCTGGAGTTGGTGACTTCTGAAGTCCCAGCTAAGATCCTGTCATCCCATGGCCTGAAATCCTGTAGGAGTCTGCTCAAGGAAGATAAAATGCTTTGAGGAACAAGTGTGAGTGATAGCGATGAGATAAAGAGAGACAACTGTCTGCAGAGACCCTGGATGCTCAGGAACTTGCTGACCAGC